AGCACCACTGTAAGTTTAGCCGCAAAGAGCTCTCTCAAAAACATGGCAGTAAAATACTAAATTGGCAGAGTGTCACGATCTGTCTGTGTTGTGTCTTGTCTTGCCTAGATCTGTCTTTGGTTTTCTGTCTGCGTTGTGTCTTGTCTAGATCTGTCTTTGGTTTTCTGTCTGCGTTGTATTTTGTCTTGTTTAGATCTGTCTGTGGTTCCCTGTCGTTAGTTTCCCTGGTGTGTCTAATTTACCCGATTGTGTTCACCTGGTGTCCCTGTGTTTTCTCCTCCCTCCTCACCTGTGTCTTGTTTGTATGATTAGTCTTGTGTGTATTTAAGTTCTGGTTTTTCTGTCTGTCTTTGTCTGTTCGTCTTGTGTAATGACTTGGTCTGAGGTGAGTGTTCTGTTCAGTCTTTGTTAAATAGTTTAGCCTTGAAATAAAGGAGTTATTTTTGTCACTTTAATCTGCATTTGGGTCCTGCTTCCTACACAAACCGTAACATTACGAACCGACCAGAGATATTGGCCCAGCAGATCCGTTTGAGCAGGAATTATTGGATTATACCTTTTCTTTGTCTGACTGCGCTAATCGATGGATAGGAGCGGTCAGGGTTCAGCAGCGAGAGGCTGCTCTGGCAGATGCATGCAAACTTACGATGAAGAATCAAGATTTGGTTAAATTCTTACCTGCCCGGCTTTTGCATTACCTCACGGTTTGTTTTCCCGATCCTGATAGACCCAGGTCTCCCGATTCCCTTTTTGATACCACACGCATCGGTGTGGTCCGTCTGGCGTCAGCCCCTGCTTCTCACCCAGTGTTTGCTCCAGAACCGGTCCCAGCAGCCATGGTTCCGGCTTCAGTATCGGCCCCAGTAGCCATGGTCCCGGCTTCGGTACCGGCCCCAGTAGCCATGGTCCCGACTCCAGTTTCGGCTCCAGGACTGGCTTACCGGCCAATGCCAGCTCCCCGAGTCCTGTCGGCGTACCGGCCGACTCCAGCACCTCGTCTCCTGTTGGCTGTTCAGCCGACGCCAGCTCTTCGAGTCCTGTCGGCGTACCGGCCGACTCAAGACTCTTCTCAAGACCCTTCTCAAGTCCTCTCTCAATTTCCTTCTAAAGTCCCCTCTCAAGTCATCTCTCAAGTCTCCTCTTGAGTTCCCTCTCAAGTCATCTCTCAAGTCCCCTCTCGAGTTCCCTCTCGAGTCATCTCTCGAGTTCCCTCTCGAGTCATCTCTCGAGTAATCTCTCGAGTCATCTCTCAAGTCTCCTCTCAAGTCTCCTCTCGAGTCCCCTCTCGAGTTACCTCTCAAGTCACTTCTCGAGTTCCCTCTCGAGTCACCTCTCGAGTTCCCTCTCGAGTCACCTCTCGAGTTCCCTCTCTAGTCACCTCTCGAGTCCCCTCTCGAGTCCCCTCTCGAGTCTCCTCTCGAGTTCCCTCTCGAGTCTCCTCTCGAGTCCCCTCTCGAGTTCCCTCTCGAGTCTCCTCTCGAGTTCCCTCTCGAGTCACCTCTCGAGTTCCCTCTCGAGTCCCCTCTCGAGTCCCCTCTCGAGTCTCTTCTCCAGTCTCCTCTCAAGTCTCTTCTCAAGTCTCCTCTCGAGTCCCCTCTCGAGTTACCTCTCAAGTCACTTCTCGCGTTCCCTCTCAAGCCCTCTCTCTCTCGAGTTTCCTCTCTCGAGTCCCCTCTCAAGTCACCTCTCAAGTTCCCTCTCAAGATCCTTCTCAAGTCACCTCTCAAGTCAACTCTCAAGCCCTCTCTCTCTCTCTCTCTCTCGTTTCCTCTCTCGAGTCCCCTCTCAAGTCACCGCTCGAGTTCCCTCTCAAGATCCTTCTCAAGTCACCTCTCAAGTCAACTCTCAAGTTTTCTCTCGAGTTCCCTCTCAAGCCCTCTCTCGAGTCCCCACTCCAGTCCCTACTCAAGTGCCGTTGGAGGTTCCGCTGGGGGTCCTGCCAACTCTATGTCCTGTCCCGTTGGGGGTCCCGCCGACTAATCTCCTGCCGGGGGTCCTGCCAACCCTATGTCCTGTCCCGTTGGAGGTACCGCCGTCACCTGTTCTGCCGGGGGTCCTGCCGACACCAGATCCTGTTCCGTTGGGGGTCCCGCCGACTACTCTCCTGCCGGGGGTCCTGCCAACCCTATGTTCTGTCCCGTTGGGGGTCCCACTGACTACTTTTCTGCAGGGGGTCCTGCCAACCCTATGTCCTGTGCCGTTGGAGGTTCCGCTGGGGGTCCTGCCAACCCTAAGTCCTGTCCCGTTGGGGGTCCCGCCGTCTACTCTTCTGCCGGGGGTCCTGCCAATCCCTTGTCCTCTTCCGTTGGAGGTCCCGCCGACTACTCTTCTACCGGGGGTCCTGCCAACTCTATGTCCAATGCCATTGGAGGTTCCGCTGGGGGTCCTGCCAGACCTATGTCCTGTTCCATTGGAGGTCCCGCCGACTACTCTTCTACCGGGGGTCCTGCCAACCCTATGTCCTGTCCCGTTGGGGTTCCGCCGTCTACTCTTCTGCCGGGGGTCCTGCCAATCCGTTGTCCTGTTCTGTTGGAGGTCCCGCCGACTACTCTTCTACCGGGGGTCCTGCCAACTCTATGTCCCGTGCCTTTGGAGGTTCCGCTGGTGGTCCTGCCAGCTCTATGTCCAGTCCAGTTGGAGGCCCCGCCATCATCTGTCTCGCCGGGGGTCCTAACAACACCTGGTCCTCTTCCGCGGCTCCGGTTCCTATTCGGCCGACACCGGGCTCTGCTCGGCCTCTGGAGCTGTCTGGTCTTCGTACTCGAGCCCGGCCCCCTGAGAGTCGCGGTCTTCGCCCTCGAGCCCGGCCCCCTGAGAGCCGCGGTCTTCGCCTTCAAGCCCGGCCTCCTGACTTTCCCGGCCGCGGTCCTCGCCCTCATGCTCGGCCCCCGCCCTCATGCTCGGCCCCCGCCCTCATGCTCGGCCCCCTGACTTTCCCGGCCGCGGTCTTTGCCCTCATGCTCGGTCCCCTGACTTTCCCGGCCGCGGTCTTTGCCCTCATGCTCGGTCCCCTGACTTTCCCGGCCGCGGTCCCCGCCCTCATGCTCGGCCCCCTGACTTTTCCTGCCGCGGTCCTCGCCCTCATGCTCGGCCCCCTGAGTTCGCCCGCGGTGGCCTTCGCCCCTCAATAACCCCCACCTTGGACTCTGTCTTGCCCCCGGGCCATCCGCCCGAGTCCCCCTTCTCGGCTTCTGCCTTGCCCCCGGGCCGTCCGCCCGAGATCCCTTCCTGGTCCTCTGCTGTGCCCCTGGGCGGTCAGCTCAGTCCCGTCCTCCTGACCCCCTCCACCCACCCTGGTGGCCTAGTGATGCGTACCTGTTCGTGGATTCTTGTTGTGCCTCGTGCCTCGTACCTGTACCTGGATTCTTGTTTTGTTCGGCCTTTGGGAAATAAAGCTCGCCTTTTTGTTTCCTTTTGAAACCTGCTTCCTCCTCATTCTGCATTTGGGTCCTATTTTTCCACACACCCTAACAGAATGAACCAACCACGAATGGACCCAGCAGATTATCCATTTGAGGTAGAATTATAGCATTTTACCTTTTATCTGGCTTGCTGCTTTGATTGGTGGAAGGGAGCGTCCAGAAGAGGGCTGCTCTGGTAGAGGCGCACCGGTTGGCAGCAGAGAAACCATGTTTTGTTGAGTTCTTACCTGACTGGATTTTGGACTTCCTTTCAACATGTGATTCCCGGCCTGCTAGCCCCAGGCATGCTAGCCCTCTGCCTCCCAATTCCCAACCTGACGCCATACGTCTCTGTGTTTTCCGTCTGGAGTCAACCCCTGCTTCTTCCCCATTTCCTGCTCCTGTCCACGAGCCGTACTCGTCTGGCTTTTGGAGGTCCACGGAGCCTCCAAAATGCTCCTAAGAGAAGGAGTCGCAGGTCCAGGCTAGCAGCCCGAGCCCCAGAAGGACAGTTCTGGCCCCAGCAGCCATGGTTCCAGCCCCAGTTCTGTCCCCAGCAGCCATGGTTCCGGCCCCAGTAGCCATGGTTCCAGCCTCAGTCCTAGCCCCAGCAGCCATGGTTTCGACTCCAGCCCCTCGTCTCCGGCCGACACCAGCTCCCCGTGTCCTGTCGGCATTCTGGCCGACTCCAGCCCCCCGTGTTCTGTTGGCGAACCGACCGTCTCAAGTTCCTTCTCAAGTCCCCTCTCAAGCCACATCTCCAGCTCCCTCTCGAGTCTCCTTTCAAGTCACTTCTCGAGTCTCCTTTCAAGTCACCTCTCGAGTCACCCCTCGAGTCCCCTCTCGAGTCATCTCTCAAGTCTCCTCTCCAGTTCCCTCTCGAGTCCCCTCTCAAGTCACCCCTCCAGTTCCCTCTCGATTCCCCTCTCGAGTCATCTCTCAAGTCCCCTCTCGAGTCATCTCTCAAGTCTCCTCTCNTTTTTTCAAAATGTCACTTCTTTTTTTTTCTTTTTCCAGAATTTGGCTTTTCTTTTTAAATCATTTTGTGACATTCTCACTGAAGAGACTTGCAATTGTTTGCCCTAGACTTCTGCTTTCAGACGTAGTTAATTATGAAGTTATTACCCTATCAGATAATAATCCAATGCAGAGGCAATGATGTTATATAATACATTATTTTATACAGTATATATTAAATATTTATATATGTCTTTTTGTATAGTCTTATATATAAAACTGGCCCTTTGATTGCAACCATTATGCTAATATGGCCCGAGTTTGACACCCCTGGACTAGTGTATTCGAAAGAAAGAAAGAAATGCAGATGAAAAAAACTGGCACTGCCAATAGATTACATTTATGTTGAATCATTTTCTGAATTTACACTTTCATAGAATTCTCATAAAGCTTGTAAAACGTATGAAATTATAAAACTAGTTAGAATTCTAAACTGCAACTGTGTGGAATAATTGATCAACATATACGACGGAATTATAAAGCCAATTTGATATGCAGAAAATAGCATTAAGAACATACATAGATGATCTCTTCATGCCTAACCTCCCCTCCCCCCTCTCACCCCCCCTCCCCCCTCTACAGAGGTGCTGAGCTTCAGTGAGCACGCAGCCCGGCTGCAGAGGTCTGAGATCCTGGAGGAGTTTGAGCAGGGGAGAAACTGCTGCTACACCCTGCAGAGCGTGGAGAAAGTCATGAAGAAGGTCAGAAAGCTCAACACACACAAACAAATAATCTTATATTTGAAATCTCTCATTGGAGGCTGGTGAACAGTGAAAATAAATCTTAAAACATTTCCACACTAGGTGGGGTATCTGCTTTAGTCCAGAATTTATTCCATAACCTTCATAAATATGCAGCATCACACATATAACGCCATGTTCCGATCATTCATTCAGGCTTCTACAAAGTGCCCACATACACCTCTACACACATCACACTGGTCTATTATAACTCCATATACTGAAAAAGTATATTAATATGAAAAGAATATTACGTTTTAGGATCACGTTTTCTTCATTATGAAACAAACGCTATTGGATCACATGTTAAGATATCATTTTAGATGTAACTATATCAAAAATATAATACAATTATGACAGAAAAGGGTTACATTGGTGAGGCACATTTACCTTAAACTGCTCAAAGTATTTCATTAATATGTTTCTATCATAATTTCTCTAATTAACTGTTTAAAAAAACACTATCTGCCTCTGGCTTTAGATTTGCCATGAAAAGTAAAAACCAGGATTAAATCATTTCAGACATCTTTACATATTATGCCTTAAATATATTTAATGTAATAGCAATCCTGCATATTCAAAAATCCTCTTTATAACCCCTCTTCCACATGTCCCCCCCCCTCTTCTCACAGGGGATTCACTGCGTGCTGCCGTTGGGGCTGGATTGCGTGCGTCGGCTGCGCCGGGCTGAGATCTTCCCCATCATCATCTTCATCGGCCAGACTGCACGTAGTGCACGCAAACTGAGGTCAATCTTTCTCCTTCTTCATAGAAATTCTAAAATAGTTCACCACAATGCTCTCTGAAATCACATTTAGACAATCACCATAAGCCGGACAATGTTTACATAGTTTAAACTTGATCTCAACACTGATACGTTTCTATGTTCTGAAGGTTGAGTAGAAATTACAACACATATATTTACTTTGATCAGTTATTACATAACAGAAGATTACCTTTTTTTCATGTTGCATGCTTTAAAATGAAGAACATCTTATTATAATAATGATGATTAATAGCATTTAATTTAGCGCTTTACATGACATATTATATATATCAATACTGTGGATAACACCCGCAGGAGCAATTTAGGGTGAAGTGTCTTGCCCAAGGACACAACGGCATGATGAGTGCAGTGGCAGTCAAGGTGGGATTGATCTGAGGAGCAGCGCACTTATGCTCCACTTAAAGCTGTAGTGACTTGTCAATTGGCACATGCTGCTCTATCGTCTATTTTCCCCTAGTTTACAAAGTGAACATTCATTTCTGAATAAGACTTGATTTAGTTGAAAGCATAAACCTAGGAACTTTACAAAAGTAAAGAAATGTGTACTGATCTAATCAATCTAGCAATAAGTAAGGTCATTTTCTCATAGACCTCAATACAATCTGGGTTCTTTTTGCAAAAGTCAACTCCTGCTGGCTGTTAAATGTTGCCACTTGAGAGTATTAGCCTCTCTCCCTTTGTGAAGTTCAGTGTATACCAGTACAGTAGATACATCCATCTACAATGATCCTACTTTTTCCTGAATGATGTTTAATCCTTTCAACTAACAGCTCAAACTTCCAACCTTGTGTTGTGGGCTAAATAAGCAATAACATGAGAACAGCATGTCGTTTTCCCACTGAAGTTAAAACAACACAAACGTGTTTTCCTTCTTTGTCTGCAATGTGTTCTGGTCCATTGAGGCTGCTGCCACTGGAAAAACTGATACTGTACCTCGGCTTTACGTCAAGAGTGAAACTTGATTCCTCTGATCAGGAGGTTAAATGTTGATCTTCTAAAGAACTTTCTCCCCTTAAACTCAATCGTAGCCGATAATAAATATACAGATTTATTACACTGCTTCGATGAATACATGATTCTGATTGGTCATTTTGGACATTCTGCAGTCTGCTATTTCTCATTAGCAGTACGCAGTACGCTGTAAAGGACATACTGATCATAGAACCACGTCCTTTCATATCAATCTATGATATCAATGCTCAAAAAGAAGTCTCGTAAATGTAACAATCTGAGCTGGTTAGAGGTTAAACATTGACTTACATTGGGAAGGACTCGAAGGAGACTCCATTACATTACATTACATTGCATTTAGCTGACGCTTTTATCCAAAGCGACTTACAATAAGTACATTCGACCAACAAGATACAAACTTGAAAACAGGATCATATAAGTACATCAGGTTTCATAGAGCTAAAACATTTCAAGTGCTACTCAACTGGCTTTAGATAAGCCAGTCCTTTATTAGTATATAAGTACTTTGTTAGCAATTCTATCGCTCGAAGTGGAGTCGAAAGAGATGAGTTTTCAGTCCCCCCCGCAAGATGTGTAAGCTATCTGCTGTCCTGATTTCAATGGGGAGCTCATTCCACCATTTTGGAGCCAGGATAGCAAACCCACGTGTTTTTGCTGATGGGAACTTGGGTCCCCCTCGCAGTGCGGGTGCAGCGAGCTGTTTGGCTGATGCACAGCGGAGTGCACTTGCTGGGGTGTACAGTTTAACCATGTCCTGGATGTAGGAAGGGCCAGATCCATTCGCAGCATGGTACGCAAGTACCATTGTCTTGAAGTGGATTCTAGCAGTTACTGGAAGCCAGTGAAGGGAGCGGAGGAGCAGCGTGGTGTGGGAACATTTAGGAAGGTTGAAGACCAAGCGAGACTGCTGTAAATCAGCAGATCATATTTGTTCACATAAATCAACTTCACACAACGAATACTTGAATGGCCTTAATTTAAATGTGTAAAATGGGCTAAAAGTAGTAGGCGGCGAGGCTCTTGGAAAACATAAGTGCGCATGCTCTGACTATGGGCCCAATGGATGTGGAAGATCCCCAGGAGATTCAGGTCATGTTGGTTTCCTGCACCACTGAGCATCTTTCATATAAGAACAGGGCCCAGCTTCCAACGCTGCACCCAGTTCTGTTCATTCATGGAAAATAATGGTCTGCATATGGAATTTGCCAACAAACAATATGATCATTTTTGTTTTTGTATTCATTTTGTTAATTCCCCCTACACTTCCAGGTCAAAGCTGCAGCGCCACAACCAGTCAGAGGAGAGTCTGCTGGCGTGTTCGAGGAGCGAGGAGCCGCTGCTGGACAAGCTGCCCTGCCTGTATCACAGCGTGGCCCCTGACTCCTGGTGTGACCAGGCCTCCCTGCTGAGCAGCCTGCGCACCGTCATCTGGGAGGAGCAGAAGAAGGTCGTCTGGGTGGAGCCCGAACTGTGGTGAAGCACAGGATACAACAGAAAAGAAACCTAGAAAATAGGAAAAGTATAGGAATTTGTGATAATATCTTAAAGGGCTTATTAAGATATATTTAGCTTTACAATCAATATTTTTGTAAACATGAGTATGTGTCTATGATACTTATAAGTGGGTGACTCTCATACAGTGCAATCTTCTGTACTTTTAAAGTGTATGAAGCTGTATCGTTATATTTACCATAACCAGAAACATTTTCTAGTCTGTGTTGCCTCCTTTTTGGAGGCATTTGTTTAAAGGAAACAGGTTACCACTAAAATACAAACATACTGTAATGACTTGAATGCACTTTATCTCTACAATATGTTGTACAGTAGATCATTTCCCACTAGGAGGGATTCTCTTTTAATGCCTAGGATCTGTCATCTCTTGTCTTTGAATATTTGAATAGTACTGTATGAGACAGGATTCTTGTAAGGAAGAACAAATGCTGAATTGTAAAATGACTTTTATTGTTACACAATACTTTGCCTTTAAGTGGCCCACAAAGGCAGGTTTCACGGTTGAGATTGTATACTGTAAGTTTTCATGGCATCTCTGAATTTGTGTGGAAGTTTTGTTTGCAGATTCTCCAGGCCTAATCGTTTCTTTAATGTTTGTTCCCACATGTCTCACTGTATGCCTACTCATTAAATAAGATGTATCATTATTTAATAGTTTGTCTTCATTTCAGTGAATTCAACATTTAATGTAGGCTATTAAACATGGTTTTACATTTCCTTATTTTTCTTTTGAACTAGTTATACAAGATGTGTTCAGCTGATGGACATTTGAAAGGCGGTGTGTGTGCTTTCCAAATTAGCCTATGGTTTTTATTTTCTCAAACTATCTCATCTGGACTTAGTTTAGACTTTAACAAGGAGAGATACAAAACTCATAATGTAGAAAAATAACGTTTCTATAATGGCAGGTGCATAACAACATTTGATATTTGATTAGACATCATCAGGCATATGTTTAGCATAACGTAAACGAAGATCTCGAAGCTCGCGCGTAAACTGGGTAGGCTCGCGCCACCCTGCCTCGCGAGAGTTCAGTCCCATTAGTAGTTGCTCCACCACAAGAGGGAATTTGGCCTTTTTTATTTTTCAGGGGAAACCATTCCAGTGGACCATTTTCATACACCACCCGGGGGGTCTCACGTCTCACCCGCGGGAACTGCAGCTCGAGCTCCGTGAAATGAGACAGGTACGTGCTGCTAGCTTAATTGCTGCTGTGTAAATGTCTTTCAAGTGAATTTGTGGAAGGGACTAAATAGTGGGAGCTGACAGTAACTCAATGTCATACAACTAATATGTTTCCCTCACTCAGTAGGCCTACAGCTCAGAAGGGGACATTTTGCTCTCAGGCTTCAATTCAAACCTCTGCTGTACAAAGTAGGCCTGTACATTGCGTGTAACGTTTAATTTAGTAGGCTACAGTCTCACAACGTTGGAGGTCGAGGAGCAACTGTTAATAACACAAACATAAATTTCAGCTTATAATTTTAATGCTAAATTAACTGAATAATTTTAAATATAGGCTACTGTTTGAATTATTATTTTCACAGAAGTTGCCATATGTCATTGCTATGTCAACACGGGTGCAATTAAAACACTTTATTGTGGTTACGTTGTTATTATTGTGTAACAGCCATTCTCGTAGCCAGCATGCACTTTACCAGTGCCCTAACTAACCCACCAACGCGGCCATTAATAATACCTGCGTTTACCCTGCAACGGCATGTCAACGTGGCTGCGGTCAGAAAGGCCCATACACATTAGTTTAGTTGTTTGTTTGATATAAAATCATGCACCATATTTATACAGTATATAGCACTTATTTTACAATATCCAAAATGAGGTTATATTTAAGTTGGAAGTAGGACTTGACACTTAGGAATGCTAACATGGCCATGACTTTATTAAACGTTTTAAAAGTTATAGTAGAATATAAGTACACAACAATGGTTAAAAACTAGCAGCACTATAAAAAAGGCAGTTAACAGATAAAAGTAAAGCAGTAACAGCCAGTAATAACAGTAATACCTGTATTTTCACATAACAATTATTGCACTTGGTTTTTTTAATATTTCACACGTTCTTTATATGACAAGTGTTGGAGGTATTTCAGGCATGTAATTGTTTGTATTCAACAAAAAGGTATAATGTATTTATAATGAAAGGATTATTGTCAATGGCAAAACTAACAAGTAATTGGTTAGATTTACGAATCCTGTAAGTATGCTTTATATTAAAGTGGTAACATGTGCTGGAAAGAATTAGCAAAAGAATCCTTGTAATCTGTTGCAGTTCCCATTTACCGATTGAGGAGTATTTTTCTATCTACAATAGCTACCATGACCATGAGCGTCCACAGGGGGGAGGCAGAGAGAAATGAATGTGTGTTAGAGGGAGTTGGGAGAAGAAAACATGGTTCCTACCGAGAGAGGAAGAGCAGGGAGAGATGTGAGGGGACACTTTGGTTTCTTCTGATTGTCATGCTGTTGGCTGTTGACCAGTTTTTGATTTGACTGCCTGTGTGTACTAGCCAGCAGAAAACAAGGACAATCAATGCTCCCCACATACGCCCCTTCTCAACCCTTTTTTTTTATCTGGTGGTGATTATTGACTGGATCTGAAGGATTTTTACTAAGACTTCCACTGAATCATGGCTCCATCAGGGTCCAGAACCCTAAACCCTCCCTCCTGTTGCTGGGAAACCACTCCAGTGATTTGTGTGTTGTTAGAGTGCATTATAGACACTGACATGGATGGAGAGAAAGAGAGAGAAACCTTGGCCCAAATAGGGGAAAGAAAGAGAGGGAGAGGAAGAGAGGGGTGGGGGTTGAAGAATAAAAATGATTACATGTTCATCTTCTGTGGCTCCCATTCGCTTTCTTGTACTGTCTCTCACAAACACATACACACAGCACTGTAGGGCTTGATTAACATGCTTTGATTCCCCTGTCTCTCGCCTGCTCGCTTTTCACTGGCATTTTAACTCAGTTGAGTTTCAGCTTTTGGGATGAAAGGAATGAAGAATGTGTTTGGTAGAACAACTGCTGTTGGGGAGAACATTTGATGTTTAATTGATAGAGGTCGGATGTCAAAGCAGAAGGCTTGTTATTTGCAATTACCCTAAATCACAGTGAGTGTGTGAGTGAGTGTATGTGAATATCTGTCTCTGTCTATGTCCGTGTGTGTGTGTGTGTGTGTGTGTGTGTGTGTGTGTGTGTGTGTGTGTGTGTGTGTGTGTGTGTGTGTCTCTGTCTGTCTGTGTGTGTGTGTGTGTGTGTGTGTGTGTGTGTGTGTGTGTGTGTGTGTGTGTGTGTGTGTGTGTGTGTGTGTGTGTGTGTGTGTGTGTGTGTGTGTGAGAGTGAGAGTGAGAGTGTGTGTGTGTGTGCGCGTGGGGTTGTGTGAGAGATTTACTGCCGTAAGCCATGTCTTTGTGCACTGAAAGTGTGAAAGATTTCATACCACGGTCAGAAACGCCTCTCTCTGCCAAATTCCTCTCTCCTTGATGTGAGAGTAAAACTGTCACTTTAATTCAAAACAATAGGCCGCTGCTCTGCAGTGCTTTGCCTCTTACTGTGAGGAAACCTTTTGCGGGATAAATACAGTGGGTTTTTCAAATGCGAATCTGAGGTTTTCAAAAATGCACAGTCTTTAAAAATCCATTGTCTTATTGCCTGTTTCCAAGAGGTGTTGTACAGTCTTCATACCACTGAGGGTGGCCTGAATATTTGAAACACCTCAGTACTTTTGAGCATTCAACAAAAATGCGAACTTTAAAACAATCACTGTTTGCACTGGTTAGTGATAAACACATCTTGTATTCCTCCACTGGCAGCCATGGTCCACCTACACAGGTGTTACTAATGAATGAGTATTATTAAGAGCGTTTCTCAAATTGTGTGTACGTGTGCAGACTGGGCTTCAAAGACTTGCTCTTAGTCTTTGACGTCAACGATAGCCTATGTATGTACCCATCCAGCAGACACAGAGCGACATTATGTTTCTGTCCATTCAACCAATATTAGTTCAGTATTCACTTTATATTGAAGCTTGGTCTCAACAAAATATCTGGCTCTTCCTTTTCCAGTTTGTACTCACATTGTCTATTCGTCATTGTATGCTAGGCATCTAACATACTTTCATATTTCATTGAAAACAGCTGCCGGCTGTGTGCAAACATGTGATACTGTTAGAGGTGTCAAAAGCTGGAAAGCTAAACAATTATTTAAAGAAGGCTTAAGAAATTAGTAGATCACAGTTTAAAGTAATTCTTCCTTTTGATTTGGGGTTTTTAGTGGGAATGATTAATAAGTGCAGCTTTCAAGGTTTTAATTAGAAGCAAGCTGATGGTTATGGTTATTATATAACAATTCTAATTCAGTGGCTTCAAACACACATTTGCCACATTTGTTCTTGAATGTTGTGGTTTTAGGCTGATATTCAAAATGGTAACATAAATCCTCTCTCTCTCTCTGCTTGCAGCGCTGACCCTCTGATGACCCAGGATGGTGTGAGACACGTCACATAAGAGTGGCAGCACACCCATGTGAGTCTCTGTCTCATACACACAATCAAACACACCCACACACACACACACACACACACACACACACACACACACACACACACACACACACACACACACACACACACACACACACACACACACACACACACACACACACACACACACACACACACACTCAGAGCTCACCTTAGGGCCGCCCTGCCTCTTTGTGTTCCCGCATGGATTAAAGCTCTCATGGGAACTCTGCTAAGTCAACAGTTTCAAAGTGCGTACCTGCAGCTTCACTACTCATCCAGCCTCTATCATCACTAACCCTAACCTCCCTGAAGACACACGTAGCCTCACAGCACAGCCCAGTGTTCTGCATTAGCTCCCATTCTGTTATACATTTAATTTTGTTTCAGCAGGAAATGTCAAATATAATGTGATGTCACCACCTGTAGTGAGAGGTAGACAGCAGAGATGACTGAGCCGTTGAGAGTGGTTTGTGTGGGATCTGCAATTAATAATTATTTGGAGTCTTTACATTGGACCTGCCATGACAGGCCTGTCAGCTTTCCTTAGTAACATGTAGTATTTGTATTGGTTTACGTGTAGGAAACACAAATATCATAAATCCGATTGAAGTAAAAAAAAAATATATATTACAGAGAAGGAAAACATGGCAGATGCGGGATATACAGTCTACTGCCAGAACACTTTCTATAAACTTGTGTGTGTGAATTTCAGTCATGATCTCATCCTGTCTGAATAAAGCAGATACATCAGGAATACAGAGAAATGTTGATCTAATGGTGTACCAAGATGTTTCTGATATAATCCCAGAATCAGCTTCAGGTTAAATGCCCATTAAGTGAGCAAATAATAGCAAACAAATGGACAGAAATTACAAATATAGGGAAGAATTTAATAGTGAAGAACATTAATGGAATACAGAAAGAAAAACATTTTAAATGAAAGGGCTGTACAGTTTTGTAGCGGAATAACAATGAATATAAACGGTGTAACAACAGAAAGTGCTGTCTGTTTTCAGAATGTCAGCGAATGTACGTGTGATAAAGCTTCTGTGGAAATGTAGATCCGGTATGTAATTACATAGTGTGCATTTAAAAATAGAACCAATAAGAATGCTGCCAGCACACCTAGTTGACTTTCATGTATGTCCACACACTAGAGATGTTAAGATTCACCGATTCCCATCGGTGCACCGGCATAAACGTTCAAGATGCGAGTGCACCGGTTGAAAGAGTGCCACTCTTTCAACCGGTGCACTCGCATCTTGAACGTTTATGCCGGTGCACCGATGGGAATCGGTGAATCTTAACATCTCTAGTGTGTGGACATACATGAANTGTAGCCGATGTGCACTCTTTCAACCGGTGCACTCGCATCTTGAACGTTTATGCCGGTGCACCGATGCGAATCGGTGAATCTTAACATCTCTAGTATGCTCCCCTCCCCCCTCCACCTGCAGACTGAAGACCTGTTAAGTCTCCAGCTGGGCCAATTAACAAGCTGCCNTTGTGTGTGTTTAAGTTCTGGTTTTTCTGTCTGTCTTTGTCTGTTCGTCTTGTGTAATGACTTGGTCTGCGGTGAGTGTTCTGTTCAGTCTTTGTTAATAGTTTAGCCTTGAAATAAAGGAGTTATTTTTGTCACTTTAATCTGCATTTTGGTCCTGCTTCCTACACACACCGTAACACAGAGTCCTCCTTTAAAGTTCCTTCTCATTGAAACACTGCCTATGGAACTCTATATATTAATTTCTCATTTTTTTTAAAAGCTAAATGAAAAAAGAGAAAATCCTGATGCAAGATATCTGAAAAAATGCAAATATGCCTTATTTCCAAAACGATTTGAATCGAAGATGTTCAGCCCTGAAGGGGAATCATGTAGTTTGAATAGAAAATGTATCAAATAAATCAAATCCATTTGTCGCACATTACATTTGTTGAAGCCTTGAATCAAAATTTTAATTTGCATCACTCTTGGATAAAATCGTTACGTGTGTGTGTGTGTGTGTGTGTGTGTGTGTGTGTGTGTGTGTGTGTGAGACAGAGAGCTCCTCCACACAGCAGCAGCGCAAGAGTGGAGCAGAGGGCTGGATGTGTGGGGGGGGCCGCAGCGAGCTCGGACCCAGGTGTCGAGTGTTGGGGAGGACCGAGCCATCCTGCTGAGCTTCGCCATGATGGCCTTCTCCGTGCTCATGTTCTTTGTGGTCTTCATCACTATGGTCCAACCTTATGTGAACAGGTAGTTTGTGATGATGACTTTTGACAATGGCAGAATGTCATGTGCTTTTTAACAATACAATTAGGGCTGCAACTAATAATCTTTCTTTGATTGAACTGGTGATTATCATTTTTCTTCAATGGGAGACTGTTTAGTTAAATGTCTGACCAAAATCTAAAATCTATTATCAGAGTTTGTATGCAAACTATGTTTTCGGAGCCCATTTCTACCAAGAAAAACAAAAGCTCGACCAAAGACCTTTACCCACCAGGGTGTTGTCTTTTAGCATCAATGATAAATATACACGTGACAGGTCTGAGCCTCTCATACAACCTCTCTGCCTCTGCTTCTGCAACGCTGCTGCTTTCTACCGAACCACCACCCCATCATCCACCTGTAGGCTCTGGGGGATAGCTATTTAATCATTAATCCTCAACAGTTATATAAAAAATATTTGCTCGGAGCCTGGACGCAAAACTCAAACTATTTGCTGCTGTTGATAAACATTGCAAATGTAATTTGTCTGACTGAAATGTATTTTTTGGCACTCGTTTTTGCTATAAACACTTGCATAGACCAACAATGTTTTAAGGCAAAAGTTTCACGAGAAAATAAAGGCATACAGATTTATATTATCTTGTAGACTCCATTGTTAGAACCAAAACAGCAAACCTTATTTACCTCCAACTTGGACCAAGTTGATTTATACCAGATCCACTCATTCTGTTTTTACTCACAAAAAAATCACAAGTGCTCAAAGAACCAATGCTGGCTTTTCCAATGTTTGCATGTTAGCATGCCATTTTTTTTAAATTTAGTACAAAAGAAAAAAAAAAAATTGCAGCTTTTTGGTCATAAGTCAAAATAGTCTAAGGAATAAAATGCACGTGCGTAAAACTTGTAATGGCAAACTACCATATGCATGTCACGATGTGGACCTATGAAAGTGGAAGAAAGGCTAATGGATCACCAACGTCCAGATTTGTCCTCTGTTTACGCTCAAAATCAATAGTTGAGCTGTTGAGATATTTAGACCAAAGTGATAGTCTGGACCAACTGACAGACCAGCATTGCCATGTGTAGCATGTTTAAATTAAATGTTAAGTTTGACCTGTCAAAAATAATACAATATACATTTTTAAGATAGTAAGTATTTCATAATTGTGTGTGTTGAGTGTTATAATGCATAGCTTTTAATCTATTTTTTGGAAGAAATGGGCCTCCATAAAATTTGCAAAAATAGGCACAAAAAAACATACCTCACATCAGAGATCTAAGAAAGGAAAAAAAAGAAGACACTGCCTTTCTGGTGTGAATCTGTCTATGGGTACTGGAGCTGTTCCTCTTTGTTTTCAAGTAACTGGGAGGAGGGGGTCCGCTGTGTGCTGCTGCAGGCTGACATCCTGGAGGAGTGGGTGGACTGCAGAGGTGTGAGCACCGTGCCGTGCCTCAGGGTGACGGTGAACCTCAGCGACTCCAATCAGAGGGCTCTCCTCCACTTTGACGAGGAGTCTCTCCTCCTCGCTCCTGAGGTAGAGTTTTATGTCAGTCAACTAACTCCAGGTTTAAAGTCCCACCCTTCAGCTGAATGCACTGTGGGTTTGGATCTGATTTATATGGTGGCCGACAGAGGCAAACACGTAACAACGGCCCAAAATACTTACATTTAAGAGAAATACGCTACAGTTTCAAAAACTATGCAAATGAAAAAAGCACCAAAAAACATGTGCATCGTTTACTAAAAGCGTTTCATAAACTAAACGCTGTAAACACAAAATGCAGCAAATCAAAAATAGCTGCAAGAAGCTCAAAAAACAATGGAAACGGGGACAATAAAAAGTGATGCACACAGCTGGGACTAGAAGCGCTTGTTGACTTTCAGGGATTAAAAAGTTGACCTGTCACTCTCGCAGAGTTAGTCTGTTTTATAATTTTAAGTATTTTGTCAGTATATTAGCTTTGTTAGCTAGCTAGCTTACAGCAGATCTGCATTAATATTTTAAGGAATCATGTGATCACAGTCAAAATAATCCAATCAAATGTACATTTTAGGTGAAAAAGTTTCTTCTTTTTTATGTGTTTTAGAACATTTGTGGTTTTTTATTTGCATTGTTCTTAAAAGTGCAGCACATTGTCTCCAAACGGAAATCTTTTTGGCCGTTGTAACGTGTTTGCACCTGCCACAGTATAAAACAAATACAGAACATATTGAAATGCCACTATTAGATAAAGGATAGGAATAAGTTGTATATACAGGTGATGAAGCTAAATTACTTACATACAGTATACATACAGTATACTTAACATAACAAATAAAATAAGAAAAACTCGTTAGCACCTGTCAGCCACCATTCCCACCAGACTGTCGTTTAGGATAGTGGATTTGAGCATTAAGACTTAATGTGCTACAACTTACAATAGGACTACTCTGTGAAGTATATCTTTGTGGCAGGCATCCAAGCAAGGACATTAGCAAGCTTCTGAGAAAGAAGTGAAAGTAAAAAGCTGAACTAACTGACAGGATGGACAAGTGGAAACGTTCTGCACCCTTGTGAGTAAAACAGCAGATATTATAAGGAGACGCTCTCATGCAGCACTTCTGCTCCATTCAGAGGAATTATAGGAAAGAAAATTCTGTACCAGTTCTGCACATGAAAAATAGAGAAAAAACACTAAATCAAAAAAGAACCTTGCAACTCGTCTCCCTGATTGCAATCAGCCGACTGTATCAAGCAGCCCCCTTGATAAAAAATTACACTTGAATCATCTTTTTCTTTCTCAGTGTTTTTACGTTCCCAAATGTCAGACGGACAGAGCAGAGCTGGAGGATGAAGTACTGAAGGTGAAGAGCAGCCTGGACTCTCAGATGGGGGTCACCTCGTCGTGCATCGCTGACCCCTCAGGGCACCCCAGGGACGTCATCCTAAACAGGAAGTACACCCTGAGGATCGCTCTGTTTACCCTGCTGTGGCCCGGCCTGATGCTGGGGGGGGGGGCTCTGCTGGTGGGGCTGGTGAAGCTGACGCAGTGCTTAGCCCACCTCTCCTCGGGGAGCAGTGTGGCTGCAGAGGGCCGGCGTACATCCAGACACTCTCAGGGGAAACTGTACCGAGAGCTGCGCAGGTCCAGCTCCCAGACGCCTCCCTAACATCAGGGTCCGAGGTTATCTGTCCTGAGGTTTATTGGGTTTGAGACAGTTGCTCTGTTTTAGAATGTTTTTTTTTTTAAATAGATCAAAAATATTTATGTAAACGTGAGAGGTTTAAGTTTAAACAAATATAATTAAAAAAAATGCTATAAACATACAATATATATACAAACACATTAAAGGTTAAAGTGGGAATGTGAAAAAAAAATATTTAAAAAAAAACAAGAAGTTAAAGTAAAATGCGCACATTGTACTGGAATAAATGTATATAAACATAAGTAAAAAAAGGTTTAATAGAAACCGAAAAGTTAAAGAATGTCTGATATAAATATACAAAAAAAGAGCACACATGTATTAAAAGGTGAGAAAATAAAGTAAGAATGTACCATTAAAATATGACAATTATATATATATTTAAAGATCAGAAGTTAGTCAAATATGTATATAAACACTACAGTTTCAAGTCAGAATATCCAATAGAAATAGAAAAGATAGAAAAAAAACATGACAAGTTAAAGTAAGCATCTCCGATAAAATAATTAACACATTTAGAATTAAAATATTTATAAACACAAGCTAATGTAAAAATGTACAACAATTTATGTTATATAAGAATCCTTCATTTGTGCAACATGCAAACCCGAAGGTTAATATAGCAACATGTATATGATGTGAACCAGGGCTCACAGTTCCGAGAGTCAACAATCAAAGAAAGGCTTCTTTCTAGCCTTATTTTCTTGAGCCGTGCAGAAAAATTGTACATTTAAAGAATTAATCACCGCTCCCAAATTAATTTGGAGAACTCCAGAGGCTGCTGAGCTCACTGAGGAGTGACAAGCGGATAACCGGTAGTCACACACACATTTCAACAAGAAAAACAATGTAATGCTGACAGGAATTGAAAAAGGAGCAGATATTGGCTAAATCACTTTAGAGGCATGCTTCACTATTTTGAAGCACATACTGTATGATGTTAATACTGGAGCGTAATGGTTATGGACCCAGTTTTTCTGAATTTACATGATTGCTGTTTAAGAATTCCGACAAAGGTTTTCATTGAATAAAATCCAGAGCTAGATTTCTTTTTTTTATCTTAGGTTTGAGACATCGGGAGATGTCTATAAATAATGTTATACCTTGGACCTTGCGCAGGCACGTCAGTGCTTTGCAGTTGTTCAGAAATAAGGCAAGGCAAGTTTATTTACAGCTCCTTTCAACACAAGGCATGTCAACGTGCTTTACAGAAATGCAAGACATTAACAGCATTAATAAATAGTGCAACGGAAACAGATGCATGAGATGCATCTAAAATTGCATTCAGGTTGGTGACATGGCAACTCCGTCAACTGCACTCATGTCATTCTACTCAGTGTTAAATTAAGTAAACAGCAAGACATGTTTGCTTCCATGAGATTGAGAGCTTGTCTTTGGTTTTTGAGGCATCTCGTTATTTGGAAAAACAAGAGAAGATTTATTTTTCCCTCGAAACAGTTTCTAAAACCTTTGGGATGATAATACATTCAGTAAAAAAAAAAGCCAAATATGTATTTCCAAAGTGAATGAATGAGTTCGTAGCATCTTGATTGTGCTTAACAAGGTGTGAAACTCACATTAGCTGATTCAAAGGAAACACATTTAGAAATGATGCTGTCAGTATTGAATGACATTTCATATTTGTTAAAGAGGACATATATTATGTTAGCCAATATAAGTGTGTGTGCTACATAGTGATGTCATTATGTTACAGAAGTAAACAAAGGAGTCCAATGGAAGCGTTTCATGCAGGGGGGGGGGGCAGAGGATTTTTGCCTCTGCAGACCATTTACATGCACTATGGAACACACTACAGGAAAGTGAACCCCCAAAAGCAGATTAGGACTCTTTAAATGTTACTTATAGCATTCAGCCCCATTTTGTATTTAAAAAACAACAGTGTCCAGCTCATCAAGTCTTTGTTGCCTATGGGAAGATGGATGTAAGAATTTTTCACATCTTGAAACCTTATCCCACGTGAATGTCAATCTTTATCCAAATAATGCAAAAGAAGTGCCTTATAAATGACTCACAGTTGTCTACATGCATACAAAGCAACAGAATAATAAAACTTAAAATGTGTTTCAATAGGGAGAAATGTTTTTATTCAATAGTACAATAAATGAATGCATACAGTTTCTTATCAGACATATGCGGATGAGTAAAACGAATATTTGAAAAGGTTTAATGATCTATATACAGATGGATATATAACTAACACATGATTGGATCTTTTTTAAAACATGCAGGGTAGGGTCTTCCTCTGTATTGTGCTTACAGACCTCCACTTGATGTGAGGAGCATACTCCGACGTCCTTCATTCGGCAACTCTCCTCTCATTCATTATACTAGCTTCTGGATGAGGATGTTGCACATTAATTCATGATTCCTCCGCCTCCTCTTTTTTTTCCTTTTTCTTTTGGTTAGCAGTTACATATATACGAGTTTGCGTACATTTTAAAAATACAAAAATATATTACCTCTGTAGTTATTCAAGGAAAGCACATGATGTAGCATTATTTCGGTTATCTTCATGGTGACTTTGTTGTACCTCACACAAGTAACAAGGTCATTTCTATACATGAAATTCAAGTAAACAACATCAGGTCAACCAACAGAAAAAAACAACAAATAAAAGTAGATATTCGAGGACCTCATGCATAATGCAGTGTGAGAAACAGAACTGTACAAAGGGAAATAGCATTTTTCAGAGAGTTCTTCCATAAAGTATATGGGGTCTTTTGTTTTTTTTGTCTGGGTCCGGCCCACTGCTCTGTAGCCGGTACAGGAGCATCTCAGCAGGGGCGGCTTTCTGAGCAGTTTCAGTCTGTTCCCACGTACAGAAAAAAAATTGACTTTCAGACAGACTCCAGTGTCCAGGAAACCGCCCATTGGGTATCATTTGGTAAAGCTGGAACATGAACTGACCTCTTACGTATGCAAAACCTGCAACCGTCCATACATAAGCGGGACAATCATAGGAGAGTGGAGGGAAGAAGACACTTGGTTCAAAAATAATTCACTCCGGTTACTTTCTCTACCTGGATGTCACGATGTGGCAAATGTGAGGAAACAGGCTGTCTTAAAGGAATACTTTACCATCAAAACCATAATTTCTGTATCAGTTACTGACCCCGTGTCACCTTGAAAAAAAGTGTTTCTCACATGCCTCGACAGTCAACGAAGAATTTAAAAAAGCCTGATGAATAGAAGTAAATAGGTTCAATCTTACTATATCAAGACATCTGCTCACTACTTCCCAAACACAAGTCTTTTTTTGTAAATCTATTCAACACACTTTGCACTCAAACGCATTAGTTGCCTGACACTGTTTATCCGGAAGTGTATATCTCTCACCTACTTACCCCTTAACATTCAAGGACTTCCAGGCCATATTCCCTCAAATTCCAGGGCCCGACACATCGATTGAGACAAAATCGTAGAATGTAAACAATGAGATCTAGCAAATTCTACGGAAGCTCACAAATAACAATAGAACTTGAATTTCCTTATGTATATTTTCAAAAACGTCCAAGGCCTTGCTTTGTCGTCTTCAAATTCACAATTTTCTTAAGGACCTGAAGAACCTTGTTATCAAAATGTAAGGTGTTAGTGAAAATGCAGAAGAAATTAGCATAATAACTAGACATATTAGACTTGGGTTTAAGTGCAAGAGGGTGAGAGTTTAGGAAAGGATATTTTAAAATAGTTCTTTAAGACCTGCGGAGGCATGCGTGAAAAACTACATTTCCCAGAATCCAAGTTAACACATGGTGAGTTACTGATCAACACATTTTGGGGGTGAAGTTCTCCTTTAAATGATCAGTTGTGAATTATTTGTGTGTGATCGAGGACAAGTAGGACAGGAGAAAACTAACGTTTTTACAGATGGCTTTAAAATTGAAGATCAGAATAAAACCCCGGTGAGGAGAAGCGGAGAAGGCGGGGTCCGAAGGCGGTTTTTCAGTTCTTTTTTCTCGGGAAGAAGCAGCCGATTCTGTTACAGTGCAGCATTTTTTCCCTCTTCCATGTGCAAAGTCCACTTGTCTGTGTATGCATGTCGGGGTAAAGGCATTTCAACTTATCCTTTCTGCAGTACATATATCACAACTTGCATAGTGTCACAGCGCAGCACATCTCCCTCTGCGTCTCTCGCCTTTCCTCAGCTCCACAACAACTCACAACATGTTGACCATCCTTCCCAGGGTCTGTCGACGCCCCGTCTGTATGGGGGGGGGGGGGGGGTGTTGACGGACAGTCGCGCCCCGACAGCTGACACAGAATATAATACTGTTAGACAAAAACAAATACTGAGGAGATCAGTGCTATGAGTACACACGAGGCTTGGAATTTTTTTTTCACACAATAAGACTGCCGAGTAGTGGGGGGTTACACATGTAGTACTTTGGCTCAGTAGAAAAAAAAAGGAATATGTGCACTGAATGCATACAACTCTAAGGATATACTGCTGTACAAAAGTCTGTTATGTAGCGTAAATTCTAAACTGTAGGGTAAAAATAATCATGGTATCTGAGTACCAGAAGCGTTATATGCTAGCTTAACAACGCGTCCTCCGTCAGTCCTGCCGTAGTGTTGATGATTGTTTTTTTATTATCTTCCCCTTTCAGTCTGTGTGAGTGATATCCCCAAAATAGGTAGTGGAAATCTTAGAAAAAGCTGGCTGTGCTCAAGGTACACCGCTTCATGATGCTCCTTCCTTAATGCTGATGGTTGCAGATGTACCGAAAGGGAATACAAATCAAATACAAAATAAAATGTTGCCCGTAGTTTGTTCACACGATGGAGAAGGCCAACGTTGTCGAGGTCCATTACACTTGCTTAGTTCCTATGAAGACGACTGATGAAATATAACTCCACCCTTCCTTCTGAAGCTCATACACCTGTAGAAACAGGAGCGTCTACGCATTGTGTCCCTGAAACTGTCCCTTCTGAGCACCCTTATTTCACGAGTCACACGCTGGCAGAAGATCACCTGGCTCTTCTGTTCTTTTGGTTCTTAGTGTGCGGATGTTGCCACAGTCCTCTCGTTGCTCTAGTTCATGGCGTGCTGGCGGATGGTGTGGAAGATCCAGTCCATCTTGGTGGTCCAGCCTCCGTGGTGAGCGTCGTTCATTTGCTTCATGAAGTAGTCCAGGGCCTCCTGCTCCGTCTTGTCCAGAGCCAGGGTCTTCCTGATGTAGGCGATGTCGTCGAAGGACTGCAGCTCGGGCATCCCGGAGCCCAGCATCATGGAGAACAGGTTGATGAAGAGGTTGGCATGCTGCCGGATCGCCAGGTATGCCTTGTAACACATCTCCTGGAACCTGGGGAAAATACACAAATGGATATAAGCGGGGAAAAATGACAATATGGAAACAATCACATGAGTAGGATCTTCTACAAATCTTCCACGTAGGAAAGTATAGTCAGGGGGCATTTATTTCCGTCATAGCAGTCAGCCCTAGTCCTCTGTTGTTCAGGAGGTTTAACACCGAGGCAGATTATCTTCAGAGGTTTCTTCTTTTCCAAAACAAACATACCAGGTGAGTAAAAGCGAGAATAACGCTGAATAAAGCAGTTTCCTGTTCAAAATCGGTGTTTGGTTAATACGGTTCAGTGGACATAGGACGGAGGGGCTACAAGCTAACCGCTAACATTTGCTTAGCTTGTTTTGTCTGATAACTTCAGATTCAGAATATGAATGTCTAAAATCCTTAATCCAGTTAAAAAATATAGTTAAAAACAATGAGTTATCTTTATATCTTGATTTTGCTTTGGAATTGTTTATAAGTCAGTGATAATTGTTTGTTGTCCCCTGTTGCTGGCCTTACCTTTCAAACTCCCTTGTTTTGGTGCACTCTTGAGTTCCTTTGCTAATGACGATCAGGAAGTCCTGTGTGAGCACGAAGGGCACGCGTTCCCTCTTGTAGCCAAACTTCTTCTTTTTGTGGTCGAGGAAATGGCCGAAGTCTATGTGGAACAGCTGTGAAAGAAAGAAAATGAAGAAATCAACGAGAGAGAAACAGAGTGGCATTTATAACATTGAGAGGATATCAGAGTGTAATCTGTACCTGTCCATCATCTTTGACCATAATGTTGCTGTTGTGTCTGTCCCCGATGCCCAGGATGAATGTGGCTACACAGTAGCCCGCACACGAGCGCGTGAACAGATCTATGGCCTGGTCATACCTGGAGAATCAATCAGAGGGAAAACATTTCAGTCTCCCAAATGATTAAGGGGCTTGATGCATTCCCATAAAAAGAAGGAAAAGGTGTTCCTTCCAGCACTTAAGCCAACTCTGCAAAAAGATTTGAATATTGTTCCATAACTGCCCCCTCTCTCTTGAACTCTGCTTCCACACATTCACGACTGCCCCAATCTGTCTATATTCAAATCTCAAAACAAAACCTTTGTTGTTTTTGTGATTTCTTTAATGAATTTTACTTCTTGTACAGTGTCTTTGAATACCTTGAAAAGCACTCTATAAATAAAATGTATTTCACTTTTATTATTTAAATTATTTTTTATTTAGCATGATGTCAAAGCTAAAATAAAAAGAAATCCATTTGCTGATTGGGAAATCTGTTCAGAAAGCAATCTTAAATTGTATCAGTGTAAGGCATGACTTATTTATACAATTCATTTGGTAACCACGGTAACCTGTATGCATGTGTTATTATGGGTATTGTGCTTGACTTTTTAGTACCGAGTCAGGTCATTAAGTACATTAGAAATTGTGTGAAAGCAATCCCGCAGTAATAAGCAGGCAGTCATTACTACACCTGTTAGTCATTATTCATGAGATGTGGTTGGTTTGCTGTCTAATAGTTTTAATCATTCTTATATCAGTTATTACTTTGGAAGCATATATCACACCAAAGAACAAGAATAGATGCTACATGTCTTGTTTTGTCAGGCCAGAAACCCAAGGTTATGCACTTTTAGGATTTGAAACAGAGTAAAGAAGAAAGGGAAATCTACATACTGTATTTACTAGGCTTCATTTTATGCCAAGATAATTGCCGTTTATTTTTCTGTTAATGCAACAAACTAACTGTTAATGCTCTACCTGTCAGTCTGTATCATTTGAAGTGTTCTCCTCTCGGTGCATTTATAATATCTTAAACCAGACCAGAAGTAAAATGCCACATGAGCCTAGATGGAGCGAGCTGCAGGAATGTAAGCACCCTAAGTCTCCACATTAGTCTTTACATTATCTCCAACACTCCCTACAGCCTGCAGATCACACTATAAATCAATGCTGTCTCCACTCACATCTCCCCCTTGTTCTTATCCTTGAGCCACTGATGCAGCGTGTGGCTGTTGAACTGCAGCGCCCCCTTCAGGCCTCCTTTGCACTGGATCTGCATGATGGTGTGAGAGTTCCTCACCACCTCGATCAAGCCCACGCAGTCTCCGATTGACAGGCAGCCGTACGGGAGCATCCTGGGAGAGGAAGACATAACGAGGGGGCAGAAAATAATTAGAGGCCGCAGTGATGGACTTCATATTACATGACTAGAGGTGGCTTGCCGCTAATCTGCATTCAGGCACAGAGGCGCAGAGACATGAAAGCATCCAGCGGCTGTTTAATGTGCATCTGCATCCTCGCTGTCATGGAGAAGCGCCGAGCCTACCTGAGATCAAGGCCTTGGTTCTGCCAGATGTTCTCCATTATCCTAATGATCTGCAGCGTCAGCATGTCCTGCCTCAGATCTGCGGGGGCACAGAGAGAGACGAGGAGGTGGGTGTCATTCAGGTGAATATTAGCTGCTTAGCTGCTCTTTGATCAATCCACCATATATTATGGAGCAGAGCTGTCAGAGGCAGTTTTGGTCACAGACGGTGCAGCAAAACGCTCTGGCAGCCGCAGCTAGTGCCACTCCGATAATGTGACTTGTTTTTTTTTTTTATCCGTGTACAGAACATGGATGAGGTTGTGCGCCATGAAATGCCCCAGAGGCCTGGAGTTAATTATGTTGCAGGCTCAGCAGGAGCTTCTTCCAAATCTGTGTGATACGCAGAGGGTGGGCAGCAAGGGGGGAAAACACAGAGACTAAACTCACCATCTCCATTTTTGAAGATGATTTCGTTGTTCTGAAAGAGCAGCTCTGACATCATATCCGGGTTTTCCCAGTTGAGCCACAGAGGCCGCTTGGCAGATGACATCATCCTGCATTCCTCCAGGCTGAAACACAGACAGGAATATGTTTAAAGAGGAAGACCACAACTCATTACACTCAGTTTCCATCTTCTCAGATTCTTCCTCACCAATCCCATGAGCATTATACATTGACACTGATGCGTAGCCATACCAACATACTGTACTCCCGAGGCTTTAAGACTTTGAGTTGCCCTCTCCGGACCTTTGAATCCGCCCACTCCATGGAGCCGACTGGAAACACAGTTCAGAGTCCGGTAAAAACGATGTCGGGAGATATGGCCGTCTATTGTTGCACAGCTTGACAACAGCGTCGGTCTGGCCCTTGGTGCTGATTGGCTTATAGTTTGTTCCCCATAGCGATTGTTGGCTGGATTGTTTTTCCAAACAAGAAGCTGCTATTTCATGTCACAATGCCAGACCCATCCGTCAACTTGATGGAGGAGGTCGAGTTAAAGTTCTGGGCCCAGGCAACCTGTGCTTTTGAGCCCTGACTCCAAACAATATATACATCAGTATTGCTTCTATAGTTATGGAACAGGATCTTCTGCCAAACATTTTTTATTTAATGCCAAAAATATATGTAGGCATTCTTGCGATAGGATGCCGATTAGGCCGGTAACGTAAAGAGACAGGAGGAGGACAATGGCCGCTTGGCGAACACTAACCACCTGTACATTTCATAAGTGCATTTTGCAAAGTGTTGATGCATTGTGATGACAACACTTGTCCACATCCATAAAGCAATAGGGCTACTCCGAACTGCCTCTGTGGTTGTTCCCATACAGTAGGTGCCCCCAGGAGCACATTTAGCAATTTTTCGTCACATCCTAAATTGTTTTCCCTTTATTTATTCTGTTGCGAAGCACTGCTGCGAGTCCATATGGAGGCCCTATTAGGGCATTAGGCATTTCCCTTCCCTGTAGTGTGTTGTATAGGTCTTATTGCATGTAAATGATCTGCAAAGGCTAAAATCCTGGTGTTCCCTCCAGAGGGAGTTTCTCTCCCACACTCTCCCTACCCGCTCCGCCTGAAACGCCTTCATTGGACTCCTTGGTTGACATCCGAACATAGTAACATCACTATGTAACACTCCAACACAATGTATGTTCTTTTCTAAGAGGCGGGATATCTCTAAGCGGTTGACCAATCAGAGCCGGTCACTTAACCAATCAGAGCAGACTGGGCTCTGGTTTCAGACAGAGGGTGAACAGAGGTGCTGCAGCACAGGCAGTATGAGAGAAATAAAGAGCTTTTTGAACATTAAAGCATGGAGACATGTCCCAGTAGAGGCATAAAAAACAAATATCGACCAACATAATATGTCCTCTTAACGAGTCAATTTGCTAGGTAGCTAGATAATCAATTCATTTTAGACATTAGACAGTAACACTTAAATACTCTTTGCCGTGTCTACAAACTATTTGAACACGGGTAATTCTTAAATAGTATCATCATTTAAGTGTATTTACATTGTCTTGAGAAAAGGCCTTAATTTGAAAACAATAATAAGAGATGGGTCTTTTTCCGCTTAACAGTATTTTATTTTTAAAAACCCACTTGTCATATACTAATAAGTATCATCGCTGTGTTCTGATCTGCATTATTTCTGCTCCTTTCATTTCCCTAGGGAGCTTTTAGTGTGAAATATAGATCTGTGAAGACTTTGTTAACAGCAGCTCAGTAAAAGATATTTCTTGTTAAAAACAGAATACCAAGGAGCATTTTGGTGTTAAAAATAATGCTTAAAGTGCTGGCAGACATCATCACATCTCATGCTGTTGTTTTTATAACTAAACCTTTATAATTATTAAAAGTTCGATAGTTGATGCGGCTTATAAATGGTGTATGAGCACTACCAGCCTGATCATTCTTGTAAATTAATCTGGTATTTATCATCACTTTGAGATCAGATTGTTTTTTTTTTTTCAAGTTTGATTTATTATTCACACAATTATAATCACATTTATCTCAGAAACAGCAGGCTTTGCAGGCGGTAGTTCTTTTAGATTTGTTTTTAATTCTCATAAATGTATATTTTATTCAATACTTACTCATTCAGTTGTATTTATTTATCCTAATGTATTTATTATGTATTACCTTATTCATTTAATGTGAAATGAAGTTCTCATACACAAATAGATATACCGCCGAACAACTTGGGGTCTAATTTAACTGCCTTTTTTAAACGTTTTTCAACATGTATAAAATCGCTTTGCAGCTCCACTTTCTGGCTCTGGAGTCTTCCCATGTGCCCTGCTTCCCTTGAGATGTAAGAACACCAGTCCTGTGCACACATCCATGCTCATACGCTATAAGACTTGCCCAGGATAGTGTGTGTGTGCGTGAGGGGGAGAACGCCGTGAAAGCAGCGGAACACCAAAGCGAGTCTCTTGCTGGAGGCTTAAAGAATCACCAGCCAATTCATATGTGTACAAGATGTTCGTGGTATAATCCTTTAGAGTGGGCAAATTATCCCACGTAGAACAAGCTGAGATACAGTGGAGTATATTCAATATCTTACCACCCCTAGAACCAGGTTTTATTTAAGAATAGTGCATATGAATCTATGGTAATTAACAAAAAAATCCCTCTCACACTTTCAGAAATGTGTGGTTGACGTTTAGATGCAGCAAACTGAAAATAGAAGCTGTCTGTATCTTTCTGCTGTATTTTGGCCTGATTGGTTTGGATGTTGAAAAAGATTAAAGTGAAGGATTCAGTGGATCAGGATTAGCAGCTGTCGGGTTACCTTCTGCGCCTCGTCTTTTTTCTCCTGTTTGAGGAGGTCAGTGAGATTGATGAGTTTCTCCATGGCCTCCACCTGTCTGCTCAGGTGCTTCAGATACATGCCACAGGCCCGGCAGTACGACTCCAGCAGCAGGCCGAAGCGCTGACTCACCGTCTTGTTGTGCATCTCCGACCTACAAACATGAAGACACGAAAATAAACATTAAGGAGGTTGTCCGTATCTTAATGGAAAATGTGTGGAAAGCCTGGTAGGCAATTAAAGGGGAAATATTTTTGTCATCCATTTTCTAAGTTTGATCTAAATATTTGTTTTCCTATGTTTATAGCTTAAGAATTGGTAGTTGAGTTATAATTATTTTCCTTTATCATTTTTTTATTCATCTGTGAAAACAGGTAGAATTTTGCAGGGTAAAAAAAAATTGTTTTTGCTGTGTTATAATCATTTTAGCACACAACGTATGGACCTTGACATGTTTATAGTATAAGAATAAATTAAAGCTCATCTGAAAGAAAACATGAATGCTACTTTCAAAACGGTGTAGTGGTGCCTCTTGTGGGTGAAAGGAGTATTATAACAACAATCAATGACAATCCCTTGCTCTTAAAAGGTCCCCTATTATACTCTTTTTCAACAATATATTAAAGATCTCAGATATATACAAATCATGTCTCTGAAGGGTTTGGCTCAAAAACATCAAACTGATCACTGTAGCATCCCATAAGCCCCTCTGTTTCAGCCCTGCTTCTAAAGGGCTGATTCTCTGTCTGTAGCTTTAACGCAGAGGGGACACATATTTATGTATAAAAGACATGAAAAAGTGGATTTTACATAATAGTTTTTCTTATTTGCCTCCCATGGCTTCAGTAGAATATGTTCAGACTCAATACAAATACACATGAAACACAAAGCAGTCTCCACAGAACTGTCTCCAACGTGATTGGAGACCAGACAGCGAAGTGACATTCAAACATCAGTTTAACCTTTTAAGTCCCATACAGCTTCAAATTCTTCAAAGAAGACCTTTTTTAATGAACTCACTTCAAATGCCAGAAGAAGAAATGTCCTATCCTCTGATTGGTTAATGCCTTTTTCAGCAGGAAGCGTGCAAGAGGGTTGTCAAGGTACTGCTCATACTTTAGAACCTGGGCACAGAAAACAGAGAAAATACTTTAACATCATAATTATTTGACAGAAAAAAACACAACTACAGTATATGAAAAGAAACATAAACCTTGATTGAATGTTTAATTACATTATATTTAAAGTGTAATGAGGATGCAACACACCTGAACAAGTTGAATGAGGTACTGTGAGAGTTTGTCATCAGTTAGATATTTGTCAAGGCACTTTACGGCAAAGTCTCGGACCATAGGATCAGGGAAGTTGCAATCCAGCAGCTCCATGGCCTGCTCTGGCTTGATGGTGGGCCAGTCCTTCAGGAGGCAGTACATCTTAAATGAAAGAAATCTTACATTTACTTCCAATATATATATTTTTCAGGAGGGAAATATTAAATAAAACAAACAAGAGACAGTGGATACGGTCAAATTGTCTATAAAAAAAGGTCCTATGTCTTTTCCTAACCACTTTGCCTTTACCTTACTGAAAAAGGTCACGGGGTTAAGAAAGAATGTGAAGGAATATTCATCGGGGCTTTAGAAAAGACAACTGCGGTCCTCAGCGAATCCGACTGCACTTACACCGGCCGAGATGTTAATTATTGGCTTTTTGCCGTGGGAAAAACACAACTTGACGTGAATGGACTACCAGAGGTGCATCTAGATAATTAGCATTGTGCATTCTTATCATGCAGGCTTTATAACTTAATTACCAAGGTTTGAATTCAAATAAAGGAAAGTGAAACTCGCACTCACACTCCTGTCCACTAGTATTAATCAACATTAATTCAATTAGTATGATCGTGTGAAACTATTTAAATAAATAATACTGTAGGCAATATATGCATCATTTGTTTGGATTAGACATATATTACTGTGCATATCAAAATTCTAAAATATTGAAAAAAAAAAAAAAAAGCTTAAGAAACGCCATCCCATTTAGTAAACACTGTAAAACTTGACTTGGTCATTTTAAAGTAACTAGCGTAACTCTCATTGTTTGCCTTTTGGTTTAACATATTGTTGAAAGTTCAAAACATATAAAGACTTTTGCGAGTTATGGCATAAGATTAAATATGCACTAAGCACTGCAACTTATGTTCCTTGTATGTTAGTTATATCTGTGCAAAGCCAAATGGTGCTTCACTTTAAATGTTGTGCAAGGAATTGTAGGACAGCATTAACTCCTTTCCTTTGGTAAAGGATGGTCCGTTGTATCTTACGCTAAACAAGATGATAAAGGAAGCATTGAAGCTTATTTCCCATCATATAGAGCAGGGGTGTCAAACTCAAGGCCCGGGGGCCAAATCCGGCCCGTGACTTCATTTTCTGTGGCCCCACAAGAGCTTGCAAAGAATATAATATGTTTATTATACGGTTACATGATAATTTACAGAAGCACGTTGCCCATAAACTACATGTCCCACAATGCATCTAAAATACTTTTTTCTCAGAATTTTACTTTTTTTTTCTTCAAAATATGTCTTTTTTCTTAGTAGTTGCCTTTCTCTCAGAATTTGCCTTTTTTTCAAAATGTTCATTTTTTTTCCATATGTTACTTCCTTTTTTTTTCCTGAATTTGGCTTTTCTTTTTAAGTCATTTTGTGACATTTTCACTGAAAATACTTGCAATTATTTGCCCAAGAACTTCTTCTTTCAGACTTAGTTAATTATGAAGTTATCCCAGTATCCGAAAATGATCCAATGCAGAGGCAATAATCTACTATAATACTTTATTTTATATATATTAAATATTTATAAATGTATTTTTACATAGTCTTGAAGTTACAACCGGCCCTTTGAATGCAACCATAATGTTAATGTGGCCCGCGATGAAATTGAGTTTGACACCCCTGATATAGAGGATTCTACTCTTATCACGGCTGACATTGAAATACTTCCCGGTCATTTCACTCTGCTAGGACGCTTCCTGATCAAAAAAGACTATTTGACTGCAAGCAAGTTCTGCTATCTGTGTATATATCAGCTGATCTGCATGTTTGAGCCACTGGCGTGATGTCCTTCAAATGAAGGTGTGTCAGCGGGAGAAACCGGAGCTTACCTGTGCAATCTCATCTCTGGAGTTCCATTTCACAGCCAGGAGGATCTTGGGAAGGATCTCCGGCATGTTGACGCAGTCTTGTCTGAAATGGTAGACAGAGAGAATACATTTGTTAGAACTTTAATAACATATAGATCAGCCTCAAATGACAGCACACAATAAACCCTCATAAAGCCAACATAACAGAACACAACCACACACTCGTACCTGTGCCTCCACAGGAAGTCCTTCTCCTGCTCAGTGATCTCAGACAGCGGGTCTCTGTTACACACTTGGCGTAGCTGCTCGTTGTCGGTGTCCGTCAGGGGGTTGTCACGGGCCAGTCTGTTACTCTATGACACCGCACATGTAACATAGTTCAATACAATTAACCCAACAACAATGTCAACACCTCATTGTGTCACATGAAACATAATATAATAAACATGTGATATTAAATGCACTGTATGTCTTTTTCTGCCAATAGGGGTCTCTCACTGAGTGAAGATAGCTTCTACAGCAAATATTTATTGTTTTGTATTCAGAGGGTTTCTATCCAGAGTTGAATTATTAACAGAATTACGCTCTTCTTCAAAACAAACAGACAGAGCGATTTAAGCCGATGAAAGAACACTGTAAGAGAGTTTTATGTAGAAAATAAGTGTTTATCTTGCTGACAGAGAGGATGTAAGCTAACGGCTAACAATAGCTAGTTTGCTTCCCTGACAACTTCCAGACGTCTGACTAACATTGCTTATCTTGTTGAATTATATAGTTAAAAAATAGTAATATTTTAAGAGTTAATTGTTCAAATGCGTCTTTCAACTGGATAAAAGTTTAATTCATGACAACAACAAAACTGACACAAAGGGGATAAGACGCCATTACAGGAGACCACATTTCCATAAAATTATACATTAAATTAAAATAACAGAATTCTCTGGTTTAGAATATGTTGGCAACATTTGGAATAATGTAAGAACAAAACTACATCGGTGTAGTCATTTTAAGCTAATTCATATCATACTTTTTAAGTGACTGTCTGTGTAAGAGTGAACTACAAAGCTGATCTCCTGATGAATCTGACAGGGAAACACAACAATACATGAGCTTATCTTACCAAACCGGTGTGGCAGTAATTGAAGCCCAGCTCTCTGGAAATGTTCCAGTTAGCATGGTCCTCGATGATGGTCATATCAGGATATTTGACAGGGCAGCTGAAGTGGTCAAACTCCAGCTCCAGACAAGGGGTTTCCTGCAGATTGAAAAGGTTGTGGAAGGATAATTAATAATCAAAGAACAAGGCCTGTGTCAATGAGTCTTTAATTAAGTAAGATAAAAGGGTTGGCTGATTAAACCGAGGCGGCTTAGAATCGCCTCTGAAACTCTACAGGTCATCAGCTTAGATAAAAAATGAGTCATGAGGCTTAGAGGTCAGAGCAGACACCAGCATGATATATATTTTTAAAGCTTTGAAAAGATTATGTTTGGTGCCACGTAGGGGTTTAACGGTATCCGTATTCGTCCCGTACCGTCACGGTTCGGACGTCACGGTTCGGTGCATGCAGTCACACGACGAATACGCCTTTTTTTTACGAGTGGGAAAAAAGTCTGTCATTCAGAGTAGTATCCACTACACTATATATAATCCACGGGGCGGTATTACGCCTAAAAGCTGTTTGCCAGCCGCCCTTAAACAACAAATGAAGAACAACACAGGAGCTAGAAGACCCGGCCACCTGCTTCTTTTAAATCAGCTGTGTGGTAACATTTCGGGTTCCCTGTGGACTACAATAACGATGGAGTGCGAGCGGTGGATCGGACGAGGACGGTGTGTCGGTGTTGTTCGACAGCGGTGCGGTATGCTAATGGTAACACACGCCAAACATGCTAAATCATATCAGAAGGCATCACCCAGAATATTCCCGGGACAAAATCCTGTGGCAAACACACGTTTATGATACCTAAACGATTTATTCATCAGGATTATCTCTACGTATTAACACCACTTTTATGATTTTTTAAGAGCGTAAATGCAATCGCCTGAAGTGAAAAGCTAACATTAGGCTGTAAACAAGTACTCTCAACCAATATCTTGTTAGCAACCGCCGCTTTTATGACACATATAAACAAACTAAATCACAGTCGCATTGCTGTGCATCACCACCGCTAAGCTGAAGACGGGTAATGTGCGACGTAATGATGTTTACTAGTCTCATTTTGCCACTTGTTAGCAACGGCCCTTTTCAAGACATGTAAAAGCTTAAGACATTCAACGGTGGGGTATTTACTGACGTTCTTTATGTCGTAGAGTAAAACATGAAAACATCCCAACCTTGTGTTTACCATAGATCTTATTTGAGGCATCTAATAAAAAATCATTAAGACATTTCTGGATTTTAGGACTTGTCCCTGTACCACTCCTCTATACTTGTCCGTCAAACCGTTTTTTACCCTTAAAAAACTATGACAAAAGATGTTCATGATGACATTAGTTTTTCACCTTGTTGGGGTTGGAGCCTGTGACTCCGATGGGGTTGAGCAGGTCCTCCATGCCGTGGGGGACAGGCCACAGGTTGAGCGCCATCTTCCCTGCTACCAGTGTGTGGGTGTAGTCAAACAGGTTGATGTTGCCCCAGGCGAGAGGACAGTGCTCCTGCAGGAAAATACCATTTAGATGATGCATATGAAAATGATATGAGAGGCAACAGCTCGGGGCTATGGAACAAACAGGTGCGGTGTTGAACAAGGGGAAGTGGTTTACTTCCCATCCACCCATTCATTATCCTTTGTTAACTGATTCAATGCAAACAAGAAGCATGAAAAGATTTGAATAACAACTTAAGGGCTTCAACTAAGGATTATTATCATTGATGAATTGATGGAACATCACTTTCTGTCATGTTTGTACAAAATAAACAATAACAACTAATGGATTAAAAAATTCTGTAAATCAGCTAATCGTAACAGCACTTATTTGAATTTAAACATATAAAATTAAAATCCCTACAAAGTCTGAGTTTAATATCTGACTTTTTGAGGATTTTCCAGACCCAAATTGCTAAATTTCATGAAAAGACACAGATTATTGATAATTAATGTCACAACATTTGGAATTTGTTGCGAGATTTGTTGCAGGTGTTACAGAAACTCGCAGACAACAATTAATAAGAAGAAGCTTGTATATGTGAACGGTTCCCAGTGTTCCAGTGAGAGAAAAGAAAATAACATTATTTAGCCACTTAAAAATAATTTCAGTTATTTCACATATATATACTGCAAATAAAAGCATTTTCATTGCCCCTGTGTTTGATTTATTATTATTTGTTATGTATATAGTGCAATATGTGTATATGTATCTGTCCATGTAGTAGATTGGTCTATAAGAGAGTATTCTAATGTTATGTATATCTTATATTGTGTATTCTTAGATACTCTTCTGAATATATCCAACTTTGGATAAATAAAGTTTATATCTATCTATCATATACGTATATCTATTCAAAGAACCCTAGGGCAACCATGCCTAAGGGTAGGGCTGCTCAATTAATCGTATTTTAAATCGTGATTACGATTATGGCTTGCAACGATTACGAAAACAACTTAATCTAAATAAAACGATTATTTTTTATTATTACTTTTTTTTTTATTATAATTTTTTCTTTTTTTTCTTTTTTCAGTGTAATTATACTTAAAGTTCAGGGTAATCAACTGTTAAAAACATACGGTTCAAATTGTTTTTCTCCAATAAATTGATGTTTTCAAAGTAAATGAATAATCGCATTTAATAATCGCAATTACAATTATTGACCCAAATAATCGAGATTATGATTTTTGCCATAATCGAGCAGCCCTACCTAAGGGTTTCATGAAATCAAACCTAGTTTCTGATTTTATTTATGGTTGACAATGGTTTTAGTATTTATTTTCTCTTCATCCCATAGATGGGAGCAACCAATCCGGGAACCTTCCCTCCACGTAAGGGCCCCGCTCCTTTTTGGGGTTAAAACATTCGCTGTCATTTGACTGGCAGTAAATACAGGTTTCGAAGTAAAACCAAGAATACCGTTCACAAGGAGCAGAATTATGATGGTCAGTCAGGCAAACAATGAAACATGTCATCTGAGAAAGATGATTGGCGTTGATATATAGTCAAATTGAAAGCTAAAGAGGATGGACGTCCTGTCAGTCTGCCGGTGGACGAGTGGCAGGAAGCAGGCTAACACTTAAAGTGGGATTTCCTTGGCTTGTCAGTGTTTTATATTCTAATGCAGCATCTACAGTCACTACTTTGACTGTTAACACTATAACTGTTTACTTTCACGATTGTGATTAACCTCAATAGCATCATAATGTAACTGTGATAAAGTGTTTCCCTCAGACGTCTAGTATTCACTGTCCCATTGAATACAATCTCCCTCCTCTATGTGGAGGGCCTGATGCCACAGATATTTACTTCTATCCTCCTTTATTCTAAGTAAAAGTATAAATAATATGATCTTTTTGTTGTTTGACTGCAATATATATATGACATGGCAGCTTTTAGGCATGATACAATTATTTTGTCCTCTTGGCACCAATTCTTTGTTTTCACCCTAAAGGGGGCTGGGCCGTTATTTCGGCAGGCAGTCACGTAGCGCTGCTCCCATCTAAAGTTCACAAATGCAGCGCTAGATTGAAATCGCCTACCTACGCATGAGGGGTCACAGGATAATGATGCATGTATATAATCCAGCTTCACTGTTGATTATGTACTCTCCCAGTTTCAGAGCTGTATTCACTTACTGCTTATACAACATGTCCTCCTCCTGTTGCTTCAAGTGTTTATCTGGTGAATGCTTTTATTATGAAGCACATGGACACACGCACTTGTCCCTGAGGTTATTGTTCATGAAAAATGCATGCAAGGAGGTTTTGCTCAACACATTTTTGTCATAACCACCAGTAACCACGATGTTGTCAAATCAACCAATGCAAAGATCAAGCTGCTAACCTCTTTAGCTCCCTTCCTTCCTTTCACAGAGCAGATGGAGAGGCAGAGCCGGGCAGCGCAGGGGATGTCTGGAATGTACATTTCGTAGTTCAGCCACTCGTTCCACCTGGGAGAAATAGGAAGAGAGGTCATTAGCATAAACAACCACCAAAAATGCAACACATAACTTTTGAAGGGTTGTCATGGGCACAAGTATCAAAGAATAATCCAAAATGCCCCAGAGGAATTCTCCCTCAATTGCCTTTATTATTAAAGGGGTCCTATTATGCTTTGTGGGGTTTTCCTTTTTCTGTTATATTGTTTTTTTTTGGTGTGCATGTAAATGGTCTGCAAAGGCTAAAATCCCTGTGTTCCCTCCTGAGAGTTTCTCTCCTAAACTGCTCCCCCCCCCTCTGTCTGAAACGCCTCCATCGAAATCCTTTTTTTTCTTCCGTTATATAATGACATCACTAGGTTACACAAGCTTCTATTGGCTAGCGCTCCAAAACAATGTATGTGATAGGCTGACGGCAGACCGTTTACATGCAAAAAAAATTCATAACACACAAGTGTTAATAACCGGAAAACCATGGAGACATGTCACAGTAGAGGCACTAAATACAAATATGAACCTGAAAATAAGCAGAATAGGGCCCTGCACCTGGTCAATGTGAATAAAAAGAATTAAAAAAATGAAATCACATTTTTCTTCACTGTTCATACCTGGGGTTGGAGCAGGGAACGCGTTGGGAGTTGACGTTGTCACACAACTGCTCTCCACCGTGGTATATCCCGGTCCTGACGTAGATCTAGAGCAACCCGAAGAAAGATACTTCTTCTTTACTAATCCTTCGAGAGTTGAGGATATCTTTCACTGACTACATAACACTTTGCAAGATCTTCTAATACTTTCAAGACAGAAGATGTGAGACAGTCACATTTTATAGTCGTCAAAGCAGAACAAAGCAGGGGGGGCTATAAATAAAACACGCTGTAGTCGTCACAGCACCGCGGCGGTGTACCTTGTCAATGTCTCTGATGTTGACGTTCACATAGGTGGCGCACAGTATTCTGATCCTCAGCGTTCCGTTGATGGTCCAAAGAGACTTGGTGGCTGTTTCCCCGTTCATGTAGGGCGTGGCTGTGGATATCCGCCTGGCATATGACGGCATGGTGAAGTTGTCTATGGGCAGCTGGGAATACAAGCTGTCTTTCGCCATTAGCATCAGGTTGGGCATCCGTCCCAGCATGATGCAGCTGCGCACATACTGCCAAGGACACACAGAGTGACATTTTGAAGCCATGCAAATATTTCCAGTTTCATCAACAGAGCTGTAACGTTTAGTCAACGAAGCAACAGAAAAATAAACAGCGAATATATTAGGATTGTTTATTGTTTACGTCTTTATTCATGCATCGATGGAAGAAGAGAAAACATTTCATGATATCTAATGGACTAATTATGTCTAATAATGTATGTGTATTGTTTTTAATACATTTCCAACTTTGTTGTGCAATAACACTTCTATTATATATATATATATATATATANNNGGACTCTACCACTTATATTGAGTGTTACCTTTTAACAAGTCCTTTCACCCATATTCTCATTGTACATCTTGAATCTATTCGAATACTATTCGGTCCGGAACAGCATGAACAATTCCCTTTTCACCCTCCAAGGAAAAATATACTGTCATCGAAGAGACGAAATAGTCGGTATTCAGACAAGGAGAAGAGTAGTTCGTGCTACTCTCCGTCGCGACTTGTCAAGAGGCGACAGTCACGAACACTAAACCAGAAATGAGGCGTATAAACAGGCCCACAAAACTAAAGTTACCACCTCGTCATTAGGGCTTCAACCCACTTTCAGAAACGTCAATGTTGGGGATAGCGCTTTACAGTCGACTTGTGCAAAATGTTGTAGCGTTAGGCGCGGAGAAAGAGACTATAATAAATTTATATAGAGGGTTCGCCTGTCGTCCTGTACAACCGACACTCGGTAGGTGTGTCTTCGTAACCAAGCGCGTTCGCACTGAACAGCGGCGCAAAACTATGCAGTAGTTTGTTGTGTGCAATCGAATGGTTGCGCCAGTGTGACAAGGGACTGCAAGCCACTTAATAAAAGCCGTCACCGCGATCTTGGGAAGCGCTTTCGGCTTTCTCGGAAAGCAATTGGTAAAGAGCCGGCTATTAAAAGCTGCCTGCTTTAAGGCACGTAGGGATTAAATTTTATAATTTTTTAATATTTATATATTTTGCACCAATTAACCCCTCCCGATCTCTTACAGTTTACCCCCCGGACCGGGAGGTGACCGGGACGCCAGACCAGACAGTAGTACTGACACGTTCTCGCATACTTTCTTGGAATATGTGTTGATGTTATTTGATTTTCTCATTCCGTACCCTTGTTTACATATAAATACTAAAAAATTTATCTGCAATAGTAAGTTATGAGACATAAATGTTATTGGTATAACCTTGATCTGACTACGCTGATATCCGCGAAAAGTGCTATGTAACGTAAATCGACTTGCGAAAATAGGTTTCGCTAATGTTATTCACGCAAGCCTGGTCGTTCTATTGTTTTGAACTTTCTTTGCCCTAGGCTATATTAGTAGTCCAAAGTATCTTGGTTGTGTAAAGTTGTGTGGTTCACTGAAACGGCATAAAATTAGCTAGCCTTGATTTCCGTCTAAGGCAAGTGTCGCCTTATTCGAGTACGTACATATTATTCTTGACCATGTCTGCAGCCTCGCAACCAGAGCAGAACTACTCTCCACAGATAAACGCAAACTAAACTCTGTTTTACCGGGTAGAAACTCTCTCGGGGGGAAATGACAGCAGCACAGTGTTCAATATATTGTACTTTCGGTATCTAAATGATACAATGTTGTTTACATTGCTCATGAGGACAGACCACCTTATTTGCAGATTCTTGAAATTGTAATTTAATTTGTAATTGGTTGTGGATTTTGTATCCAGTTTTCACTTTATGTATCTTTATACAATGTTTACTACTTTGCTTATGAGGACAGACAGCCTTATTTACAGATTCTTGAAATTGAATTGTAATTTCATTTGTAAATAGTTACATTCATGTGGATTTATCTAGTTTGCACATTTGTATGCATGCACTTATAGGTGCATTTGTTGTTGTTGAAGGCCTGGCTGTTAGTCTTTATTTACACTATTTTGTTGCAGGCCTACTGGCCTAGATGTTTATGCATACCTTGGCTTTGTTCTGAATGCACTTTGTTGTAGTTATCCTACAGAGAAAATGCACTTGACTTGGAATTAATGTACTGTATGCATTCAAAAGTGCTGAATAAATGTTTTATGGACCCATAATAGTGATTACTATTTAAGTTAAGTTTTGCCATAATCATGTCTTTTTCCATAATCAGGTAGCTGAACAACATTGGTAAAAAATGTATACATTATACATATATATATATATTTCTATTCATCATTTTCGGCCTTTCGGCATTCGGTTTTCGGCCAACTGTTTCCTATTTTCGGTATCGGTTTCGGCCAAGAATTTCCCATTCGGTGCACCCCTAATTTTAATTACATTTTTTTATTATAAATAAACTGTGAACTTTAATGCAAGGATGTATGTGATGTCAGATAGTAATATAAGAGTAATAAATGAAAAACAGGTATGAAATACTATATGACAGTAAAACAAGAATACAGTTTAAAAGGGGAGTGATTTCTAAAATATCCATAAAGAAAAAGTAAATCTGTTTACAATTCTGTTTCATATGGATGTTGAGAGACGTATCCATAGATCTCTTAATGTTGCTCTCAAAGTGCACCAGATTGGTGCTTTTAACTTCAATATTAAGCTTGCCCCCGGACCCCCCTATAGGAGGTTATGTCCACTCCCCACTTATAAAAACAGCACTTTACCCCTGCTTACACCTATATTCCCTGAGCTGATTATCGAGCCTTCATTGTAACAGTCGCGGATACACTGCGTGTGGGGAGTGTTGCAGTAGAACATTCCACTGTAGCGCCGGTACATTAATGGGAAACCCTAAATGTTTGAGCACCCTCTATGAAACGTCAAGCTACCCCACAGCACTGGCCGCGGCACATGACGGTTTTGTTTGCCCTCCCATGAAAATCATATGCCCTCTCTGTAGATTTGTTCTGGTGCAGGGTCTGTGACAGACCCTCATTCTACCTCCCCTATTTTGTCATTTGGGTGTTATTCATTTGCCAAAAAAGAGACAAATCACACAATTAACAAAAATCAAACAACTGTTTTTATTTTTGAAATGTTTCTTATACATTTTAATAATATGTTTTATTATTAAAATAGATAATGCATTCTTATGGCCACAATAATAATGATGCAGTGAAAACAGATTATAAAGACAGCCCCTCTCCACATATAGTAATATGTAACCTCTCCTCATGCAGCTATCAGAGAAGGATCCAGTTTTGACTTGAGTGCTTGTTTGTAAGGCGTTCCAGAGCTGGTCATAAAGAGATGTAGCAGTGGGAGCTGTGTGTGGTATATCTGTGTGTGCAGGTGTAGAGTGTGTGCGCATGTGTTGTACATTCATGCTGAGGCGAGGTCTGAGCCTCCGGTTGATCCACGCTCGATCCGACAAGAAGCACAGGGAGGCAGAATCTGCCTCCAGCCAACTGCCCCCCACACACACTTTTTTACACACACACACACACACACACACACACACACACACACACACACACACACACACACACACACACACACACACACACACACACACACACACACACACACATACACACATACACACACACACACACACACACACACACACACACACACACACACACACACACACACACACACACACACACACACACACACACACACACACACACACACACACACACACACACACACACACACACACACACTCACCCCTGTTCCTTGGTTTACTGCCTCCACAGCCTCCCCCTGCATCCTTCATCCATCCATCCCTTCCTCCCCTCTCCTCCCTCAAGGATGCGGGTAAAGACAGCCAGGCTGAAGTGGATGTCAGGGGGAATTAGATGCTAGCAGACAATTTGATTTCTTGGTCTTCAAGGCTTCCTTTTCCTCCACAGACACAGAGGCTGCGATGCTCACATTGAGCAGGGAAGCACAATTGATAGGAGAAAGAAACTTGGATATAAACAGACAAGAGAAAGAAGCACATAATGGTCAATGGTCAAAAAGGCATAGAGAAATAAGAGGTGCAGTTAAAAATGGCAGTTTGAAACATATACCAGTGAATTACGAGGTAGATTATTCAGATTGACGAGAACAATATATAACAATAAAAAGGATAAAGCAGAAACAAAGACAAACTGAGCAGGGGAAAGGTTGAGTGTGTCAGTGAGAGAGAAACAGAGCAAGACAATAGGAGAGGCCGTCTCTGTAGCCACTTATTAGTCCTCCCACCCGCTGCTGTCCAAATGGGCAGATTGACGCCTGTTAGCTCCTGTTAGACCTCCGATAATGGAGCGCAGTTTAGGTGGGTGGCAGGAAAGGGAGCTATCCTGTCCGAAGTAACACGATTCCTCAGTTGTGTGGTCTTGTTTCAGCTCCTTTCAGCACATCAGGGCAGAGAACAGATACAGTGCTCTTACCTCGCTGTGATGATGAACACAGAGCTTCACCGACCCACACACCAATGTGAGTGGCCCACCTTGTCCTTTGTTAATGTCACTTTGAGTTGTGTGTGTGTCCTGCTAATTATGTACGTTATGAACATAACACACATACTCAAGGTGTGTCTTTTGTGTGTGTGTTTGTTCGCATGGCCTCCTTTGTGAAGGTCCATGTGTGTTTTTATGTACAGTTTACACTTGATGTGTGTTTGTGTTTTAGCGGAATAAGGAAGTCAAATTGTGCAGAGAAATGCAAGTTGAGTTATAGAATTATATTTGGAATGAACCGCCACCACACGCACGAATGCCTTAAACCTCAGGTTGAACAAACGCTTACAGTGAATCATCATTCATGCCACATAACTCATTTTTAATTGTAGTGGAAATTCAACAGAATTTGTGTTTTAAAATGTTGCAGAAAACATTCACTTTGAAAGAATAATGGATCTTTTTATTTTCCCAGGGGGAAATTCTAAAGCCTAGCATACAATACATGCAATGCACAAAGTGAACTACAGGTTATATTCACTTCACATACAGTGTCCCCCAACAAGTCGTTCTAATGAAACAGCAAGGGTTAAACTTGCTTTCTCAAAACGACACGTAGTTCTGACAAAAAGCCGTTATCGGAAGGACAACATCATTTGACTGTTCCTCCTCGTTGCATGTCATCGGCCTAGTAATTCTGTATTTTACAGCTTGTTGAATCCCTTTTGATACACAAAATGGTTCTAAAATATTATGTATACATATCCCCCTCTGCTGCAGGCCGCTCTGCTCCCTCAGCTGTACAGTTACTGATCCTGTCGGGCATGTACCGGGGGAGAAAACTGTCTTTCTAGTCCAGTTGTGACCCTGAACACACCCAGAGTAACTTGTTAACCGTGCCCACCAGCAGCTATGCTTTGCATGTTTCCAGCACCTCCCAACCCCCGTCTGGGTTGCCAGGTCCTCAGTCCCCCCCAGATGTCGGTTGCCAGATCGTAGTAAGCCCATGCACCATGGAGGGGGTCTGAGATGCTGGCTGAGGCCCGGTGCCACACTGGGCCTTGTTATTATCTCCAGATGACATCAGCATGAGCAGCAGATGCCTTTTTGGCCACAGGGGCTGAACAGGGAGAGAGAGAGAGAGTGTGTGTGATTCTGTGTGTGTGTGTGTGTGTGTGTGTGTGTGTGTGTGTGTGTGTGTGTGTGTGTGTGTGTGTGTGTGTGTGTGTGTGTGTGTGTGTGTGTGGCTGTGTGGCTGTGGCTGTGTGGCTGTCTGCATGCTGTTCTCGGCAGGATTGGGCTATTTATTACCTCCCCACTTATCAGGCCATCTCCCGCACTCAGCTGGGAAGGAGTGTCTGTTTCATTCCAAAACGACCATTTCTCCTCGTGATGATAATGTAATCATGCAAAGACATACACAGAGATGAACCGTTTAATAAGAGTAGTCATTATCTATTTGCCTCTGCAGTAATGCTAACCTACACATGTGAAAAAATGACATGATAATTAGCCTAGTGAACAATAATCATGATGATAATGATGATACTAATTGATAGTAACAATCCTAGTAATGGCACTGAAAGAAAACAGCTTGATGTCACACTGGAATAGATGAGTGTAAATGCACAAATAATGAGATTTACACTGAAGCGCACTACCAGGAGATACTGCAGTTAATGATGGTGATCAGGTTTTGCTATGTAGGTCACCTGTGTGTCTGTGTGGCCAACTGTGTGTGTCGTACGGCTGAAAGATGCTGCTTTATTTATGCCTGTGTTTTCTTTTAGAGACAGGCTGAAGAGGCAGGAGATTAAAGTCATGGAAGCAAATCAAAGCACAGGCAGACGATTTAGATGAAAGTGCCTGCACCTCGCCAGGTTTATCAAGTGCACGGCAGTGTGTAGATGTGTGTACATTTACACGTGTGCCTGTTAGCCTGTATGAGGCAGCAGACACTGCACACGTTCACTGTCTATCACCTCAGTTATTTAACTGTCCTCCTTCCCTGCAGCTTATTATATACAGTCTCTCCCTGCTCAGCTCCGACCAATTTAATGGACGGAAAAAGACAGGCATCAGGAAATGATATTTCTAATCAGACAATGGCAAAGGGCCCCTTTTTATTAAAGTGGGGGTGCACGCTCTTTCTGTCTTTCTGTCTGTGTTCAGAGCGGCCTACAAGGCTGATAATGGCCCTGGCTGGTCTGGTGTCATCGTATTAAAGCACACACACACACACACATCTGACACACACACATTCCCTCTCCTCCCTCTATGACAACCTCATATTCTTCCTGCTTTGCCCTTATAGTCAAAATTGACATTTTTGTTGTTGTTTCTTTAACTGCTCGCTACCGGTGTGTATTATACTGTAACTTTGAAAAAAGAGAAGATTGAATTTCCCCGAGTCTTCAGGGCCAAGCCATCGCACCTCAAAAAATTCTACTTTATGTGTAAAATGCTTTACTTGATATAATTGTTCTAAAGGGAAATGGAAAATTAGTGATTTATAGAGGCCTAATATATTTTCAGCTTGTATGAATGCTTATATGTTTTGTCTTGTGATACTTTGACGACAGATATGCAGGTTTTGTCTTTTACAATCAGACATAATTCAAGTTGCTGTGACAAAGTGCTAGGTTTCAAGAAATCCTGTGCACTTTGTCTGGTGAACAACATAACATATAAGGTTTTAAAAGCTGTTAGAGATGACAAGGAGCTACAGGGAATGTTGGCAAATGTCTTCATGGACTCTATGTTGATAGGTGATCAAATCTGAGAGTGATTCAAATCATAACCTTTTGAAGGTCAAACGTCTTCATGAAAAGAAAATGGGTTTGTCAGATGAGAAAGTTTTCCTCTCATTCCACAAAAGACTAAGGTCTAAGGCTTTTAGCAAAACGTAATTTAAGCTGTGCTGCTTTGGGGAAAAGGATGTAATCCAACAAGAACAATGTAATGACTCTGCTTAGAAAGGACCTTCAAATGCGTCTGAAAACATTTCGTCAACCGTCTGTTTGTATGAACACTTGTGATAAAACTGGGATTTCCATCTGTACTTTGAGCTTTGGACAGCAATGATGACACACAAAGGAAACTCTTCAGCAGCTGATGGACTATGACTGATGTTCTAATCACATTGTAACACCCTGATATGAGAGCACATTGGATTATTTTCAGCACGTTAGTTTGGTCCTTTTTACGTGTGAGGATAAGTGGCCTTTCTAAATAACAGTGTCACCAATGTTCCAAATGTATAATGTTTCTACACCATTACTAGACTGTTTTCATGTTATTATATTTATTTATGTATTCTATCATTTGTTCACATTATATACAAAGAAGTTAGAACTAAACATTTGTTGCATAAAATGGTCATAAAATGACAGTACCTTTGTGTATTGAAATGATTTCTGGAACGTTGTATTTTCCAACAGTCAAAGTAATGATGACAGGACAGAGGAGTGTGATGGCAGATGGAATGCAGTTTGTATCTGAAGTTGGACAGACTAAACAGTTGCTCCGGGTTGCATCAGTTGTGTTTTTCCAATTCTGCGCCATATCATCACAGTGGAGCTAAATCCAATTTAAGTCCTAATTACAGGCCGCTAAAGGCTACGTGGTAGTTTCCCCAGAGTCAGTGGTTAGTGTGGAAACAGAAAGTGTCACACAGGTAACAAAGCCTGGTTCTTCCACTCTAACTCTAGTGCACCTTTCTTTATTTTAGTTGCATGAACTGCAATAAACACGTCCTGCTTTACAGGATATACCAGCAGTATCTCTCTCTTTCTGTTGCTCTCCCTACTGAGTCAGTGTGTTTGCTCCCAGAGGCCCCTGCTCTGTCCTGGAAGTTGACCGTTGACCACAGGTGACTGCACGGCTCTGGAAAACCACCAGCATGTTGTCACAGAAACTGAGTCACCACCTCCAGGCCTTATCTCAAGGTAAACAAGAACGCCGCCAGCACATACACACAGACACACACACACACAAATATGCATATACAAATACTTGGCACAAAGTGACACACTGCCGATCTGCTGACATGCTGGGTGATCTCATAAATTAAAGCTGTTGACGTGGGCGTTACATGCACTGACACACACTCAAACACACACATGTATGCATATGGACACAAAGCAAACATTTCATCCCGACTTATTAAAACACACTCATCCCCACCCTGACCTGTGACACACAGAAGCAAAACAGTTTATCGTGTGCTGAATACTTGGCCTGTCTGTTGGCGGTGTCACTCCATCTTACCCCAATCCCCCCCATTTCTCCGGTAAGTACAGCATCTGACAAGTGCGCACCGCG